GGATGCCTTCTGGAGTAGTTTGGGGCCGCTTCCGCAGCCCACAAACAGAGGCTACCAGCATTGGATGGCCCCACTTCCCAGAGGTCTGGGCAAGGAGGTATGGTGACTCTAAGAGCCAGGCCCAGGACCTGTTGGCCTTTCCCTCTGCAAACAGCATGGGAACACATGCTCCCGCCAGCCCAGACTGTTCTACTTCTCAGAGCCTTTATACTCACCAGCCTGTAATGCCACATTTGTATAATTTTCTAATTAATGTCTGGCACCTTCCCCCGAAAACTGGAGCTCTGCAAGGGCAGGAGCACTAGGTGTTCACCACCGTGTCATCAGTGCGGAGTGCGTGCTGGCACATTGTTGACACTCACGAATAGTAGGAATGAAATGAAACAGCAGAAAGTCAACCGTGGCAAGGGTGCGGGAGAAGAAACTTTGGGGTGTGATTTGCACAGTCACCTCTTTGGTCTCAGCCCCTCCTTCTCGCTCAGGCCCAGAGTCTCTCCTTGAATGCAGGTGTGTCCTTTCAGCACGTAGGAGCTGGAGTGATGCTCCCTGGATGTAGAAAGTGTTCGGAGGAAAAAAGGAAATGAAATTGATGATTTCTTTAAGGCCACATCTTTTCTGCTGCGGCATTAGCTATTTTCCAGCTGTGAAATATCTAAGGACAGCCATCCCATTTCACTGGAATGACTGTCTCAGAGCTGTGACCAGGAGGTGACAGAGCTAGCTGTGTCCCTGGGCTGGGAGGAATCACTTCTCCAGGAGCTGGCCTCATAAAACTGAGGCACATTGGCCTCTCTGATTTGGTTCCTGTTCACTTGCAGGAATAATATCACCTATAAGAATTTATTTATTCCTCAACTATATAAGTGTCATCTCTTGGTAAAAGATGTAGAGTAATAGTTATTCAAGAAGTGGCTGGTTTCTGCAAGTTCCAGTCTCTAATTTTGGAGAATAGTAATTGTTGATTGTTAGAAGATTCATGGGTTTTATTTCTGTATTTATTTATCTTGCAGCATTATGTGTGCTTCTTGTCCTTTAACTGTGATGAGTGAGTATTTTCTGAGTGTTCTCTTCTCCGCCTCTGCCTTTCTTCCTTTTTTAACAGCTACAAGAATTAGTGTCTAAATAAAATCAACCAACAGGAATGAGTACATACTACTGCTTTATGAATCTGACAGATGATTGTAATGGGCCACAAACCTGTAGACAGAAAACGTTTAAAACACCTCAAAGCACCTCTCTTCTGCTGTGATGAAGAATATCTATAAACTCAGGGAAGGAAACTCAACCAGCCAGGGAATGTGAGTGAATTTCTTAGCTCTGGCAGACAAGATGTTTACAACACTCGTGAAATATCGAGGCTGGGCTTGGAGGAAGATCTTAAGTTTTCTCCATTTACAAAGTATAAAATTGGGATTATTCTGTATTTATCCCATCACAGAGAAACAAAAGACACAAAGCCTGTTTCTTATAAAAAGCAGTAAGGGGGAAATTTGGGAGTTCAACCAGGGGATTGCAGGAACCATCCTGTAGCAGCATGGAAGTTTCATCCATCCCACAGAAACCTTTGGGTCAACAAAACCCATCCACTCTCAGTCCCCCAATGGCCCATCAAGGGTAGACATGAACACTTAGCAGCAGCCACAGGAACCACCTGTGGAAAACTTCCTTGCCTCCCTGCCACATTCATGCTTATTCTTTACCTACACCCCTTTTTCCATTTTTGGCTACTTCTGAATATTGGATTGGTCAACTGATCTTATTGTCTTGGGTCAACCCTTGGCACTTTGGAGGGATTTTCACACTTCCTGGCTTTCTCCTCCACAACCACCTCCAAATAGGAAGATACCTCAATCTACCTTTGCCTCCCAAGGATCCAACAACTAATTCCCTAGTGGGGACTACCAAATAAACTATAAGGGAATTATTATTTTGGAGCAATGGGGAGGGGTTCTGGGAAGGGAAAGAGAAAGGAGGATCAAGGAAAGAGCTATGTAGCAGTTCTATTTTATTTTTTTAAGGAAATTCCACACTGTTTTCCATAGTGGCTGCACCAGTCTTCATTCCCACCAGCAGTGTACATGGGTTCCCTTTTTTCCCACATCTTCACCAGCACTTGTTGGTTTATTGATGGTAGCCATTCTGGCAGGTGTGACACGATACCTCATTCATTGTCACTTTAATTTGCATCTCTCTGATTATTAGTGCTTTTGAACATTTTTTCATATGTCTCTTGGCCATCTGTAAGTGTCTGTTCAGGTCCTTTGTCCATTTTTAAATTGTTTGTCTACCTTTTTTGAGTGGTATGTGTTCTTTATATGTTTTGGAAGCTAACCCCTTATTAGATGTATCATTAACAAAAATGTTCTCCCATCCGGGGGTTCCCTTTCCATTTGTTTTAAGGCCTCTTCTCTCTTCCCTCTTCCCTCTTCCTCCTCCCTCCTTCCCTCAAACTCTCACTCTCTTAGTCTCTCTCTGTGAGTGGATATGCATCTATTGTTCATCTTTTCTGAATATGTTTATCTGTGAGTCTCCTTTCTTTTCGAATCTGTCCTTTTTCTTTCGTTTTAGATTTCTGTTTCTTCTGCTCACCCACTCCCCATCTTTTCCTGTCTCCTCTCAGAGCCCCTAGTGGGAGTATTTCAAACCAGCTATTTTTCACTGGCTTTTCAAGTCAAATATTCTGCAGGTTAGCCACAAGACCTGTTTGCAACTCGGTTTTCTTGTCTGTGAAATAGGAACTTGTCCAGTGCTGGGCGTAAGTGGACAAAACTTCCTTAGACTGCAGCCGTCTTGCATCTTCCAAAACGGCAATTTTTAAATCTCACACTGATTTGCTGGCATTCTTTTGTAAATAACTTTCTCCCTTTTTTCTATTCTCTCTCTTTCCCTCCCGACATGGGCCACTGGGTTAAAAAACGTAATTGTTATAAACTCACATTGTCAGTGTTATTAATGTTCAAAGTGTCCCAAGTTTGGCCAGTGGAAACCCAAGAGGCCAATTTTCTAACGAAATACCTTGTTTCACCAAAGGAAATTGGGGTTCTGTTGTATGAAGGAACAAATTGCTATCAGCCAGCAACTACTGGGCCTGCCACACTTATCTCCCCAAAGCCTCAGTTTCCTGGACTTTAGAATGGGGTAATAACTCTCTCAGGATGATTCCCAATTGGTCATGGATTGACTGCGTGAAAAACAATGCATGCCTATGTCATAGAGCCTGACACAGAGAAGGGGCTAAAAAAAATTAATAATTTCCCTTTTCCTCCTTCCTATGCCACTACCTTTATTTAATCCTCAATCTTACTTTGTTTGCATGTATGTAACATTATCTTCACCTGTTTGCAAGTCGGTTTTCTCATTCTGAAGTAGGAACACAGGACTTGTGTTTTCATGAGGCTTAGCTATGCTTTGTCATTGCAACCCTCATGCTAAGTCTTGTGAAATCCCAATTTTGTCCCAGGATTTTGCAGATGGTGGTGGTGGTGGTGATGGTGGGGCACACACACACAATCTCATGGTCACAGTGAGACTATTTATGGCCATAATTTGTGCTCCTGAACACCCTGTGGGATCAAGCTAAAGCCAGTCTCTAGTTTTGACTCCATCTTTACTTAGCTTATTCTGTTCCCTCACTTTTTTTCTCCCGAGGCACTCTCCCAATAAACTACTTGCCCCAGAATCCCCTACTCAGGCTCTGCTTATAGGAAAGAAATGCAGGGCAGAGGGGATGGAGGGAGATTTGCAAATCAAAGTATTTTGAATAAAATTAGCATATGTCCTTGTCCATAAATATCTTCCCTAGCTGCACATCTGGAATCACCCAAGCTATTCTCATGTCAGAGTGTCTCACTGGTCTCCTCTCATTTATTCTCTCCTCACTCCTTTCTTTCCTGGTTGCCAAAAGGAGCTCCAAATTGTCCTTGCTATTTCATGTAGCCATCCAGTCTTCCCCTCGTTCTAGATTCCAAACTTAACTCCAGGCCCACTTTGGCAAAGCAAAGCTAGTCAGCAATTCAGATGAACAAGAGGGGGCCTCATTCATGGTTGCTGTGGCTGTGAATAGCAATCAAGTGTGTTCCTTCGTTACACATATGGCCTGTGTGAGAAGCAAACACACTGTGTTCAATTCATGGTATGTGTGCTCCTTGGATTATGTCTTCTAAATGCTTATGACCATTCACTGCCCTCCTAAGAATAAAACTCTGACCTTAGAATATAAGGCCCTCCTGGTCTGACCTCCTGATTTCCTGCTCTCCTCTGCTTGCTTCCCACTTTCCATTCATGCAGCTAGACTCTCTCCCTTTCTTGAGTGTGACAAGGTCTTTCCTGACTCAAGGCCTTTGCACTAGTTGGCCCCCAGCGAAGCTCTTTCCCCATCTTCTCCTGGCTATAAACACTTACTGGACCTTAGGTCTCAGTTCAAGTGCTTCTTCCTCAGAGAGGTTGCTCTGGCCTCCCAAATTAAAGAAGGATTCCTCTTTTTAATGTCTTTCATGGCATTTATTACAGTGGTTATCAAGTTTATTTACATGCTTGTCTGTCCTTTCATTTGTTTCTTCTATTATATGTAAAAAGCAGGAAGGCTGTTAGTCACTGTATTCCCGGCGCCTGGGTCAATGCTTGCCTGGTGTTCAATATCAGTTTGTTGAATGAACCAAGCCGAGAACCATAACAAATTCACCTCCTCAAGTTTAGTTCAGGCCCCTCGGTGGTCTCCTGGCCTCAGAACATTACTCTTCTTCAAGGGCGACCTTTCCAAAGCGAGTATTGTCCACATTTACCGTGCCATTGGAGAGGCTCTCCTCGTGTAGGCTTCCGTGGCTTCGCTTTCAACGCGTTTTCCACGCCCGCCCCCGACGCCTCCCACACTCACAGGTTGCAAGACAGGACAGGCCTACAGGACTACAATTCCCACAATCCCGCACGGGCCAATGCCACATGATTGGCCGAACTCCCAGCAACATCCAATAAAACGTAACTTTGTTGACTTGTGCCCGAGTCCCGGAAGCGACAGTTCGGCGTCGGACTGGTTGCTCTGGAGCCGAGTCGCGTGCCCGCCTGCCTGCCCGCCTCCGCTATGGGGGCCGCCGAGAGCAGCGAGGGCCGCAGGGTGTCCTTCGGAATGGACGAGGAGGAGCGGGTCCGGGTGCTACAGGGCATCCGGGTGAGCGGGTCGCCGGTGGGCGCGAGGAGCGAGCGCGGCCGGGCCAGGGCGGGTGTGGAGGGCGCCCGAGGGTGAGGAGGCCGGGCCCACTAAGGGGCGGCGCGCCAGGAGAGCGTGTGTGCGCGCCTCGCTGGTGGAGCACTGCCTGCTCCGCGGCGGTGAGCATCCTTTTCTCCGCCCGGTAAATGGGGAAGGTGAGGCTTGGAAAATGCCCCGGGTCCCCGTGCCGGGAGTGGCTACCTTCAGGCTTCCCCACCGCGGGAGGAAAATTGGAGAGCGAGAGAGATGGTGAGGCCACATTCATGCCCCAGTTGACCCAACTGTCACGGACCTGAATCTGTTCCACCGCACACCACGTGTATGCGTCTTGTGTGCACAGGAGATGCTGCTGCCAACCCAGGACACCTGCAACAGCTTCTCAACATTGCAGCCAAAGGGGCACGTTTAGAAGTTGTAATTCAAGTCATACACCCTTCCTTGCTTAAAATCCCAAGCAAGGGCCCCCCACTTCCCATTTTTTAAGATCTTCACTGGAGGACATGTTTATTGATTTTTTAAAGAGGTGTGTGTGTGTGTGTGTGTGTGTGTGTGTGTGTGTGTGGCAGGAGTGGAGGGGAGATCTCGGTGTGAAGTGTGAGAAAGAAACTTGATCGGTTGCCTCCTCCCTATGCAGGAACCCACAACCTTCTGATGTACTGGACTGTACTCCAAACAACTGAACCACCAGGCCAGGCCTTCAGCAAGCGTTTCAATGAAGGCCTGGCACATTTAAGACGAAAAGGAATGATCTTACCTTATTTTACAAAGCCGTGCTGCTGATTTCTCTGGCCTGCCTGATTTCCCACCCCCCATCTAGTCACCAGCCTTAGGACCTCCTTGTCGTAGCAAGATGTCAGCTTGCTCCAAGCACAGGACCTCTGCATTTGCTGTTGGTCTTTATTTATTTATTTATTTATTTATTTTATTTTTAACATAATTTATTAGTTTTCAGGTAATAAGCATAAACATATGTTTCTATAACGTCCTCTAATTCTGTTGTAAGGATGATTGTATATTAACAAACATCTAAATGTCTTACCAATTGAATTTAGGGGCAATAATATAGGATCATAAAAACATTTATTTCTAATTTCTTCATTAGAAACAACAATGTAAAGCCCTAATTTATTAATGTATCTTGCTGAGAAAATAGGTTTTAAGATTCTAAATTTAGATTTTGATGATTTTTAAATGAATCCTTGGTTTTTCCTATTTCCCCGAAAATTAGTTACAATTTTGAGTATAGTCATATAGCAACCACAATCCAGTTAACTGCTGAGGGTCGTTTTCAAATCATGTCCTTTCCAACATTTTTCTGAAGTCGGTTTCTGGCTAGTTCCATCAGTACCAAGGGTTCTTGTATGATGATTGCAGGGTAATGTTTGCCTAGTAGTTCAATTTCCACTTGTCCTACCTTACTGAGCTCCGTAGGGATGTTTGCAAAGCCAGACTCTTCTGGATGCTGTAACTGTAGCTTTCAGACATGGTGTTGTCAACCACCTTGCCATTGTGCCAGATGCTTTCCCTTTCCCTCCAGATCTACATCGTCCATTGCCAAGGTGAGACAGTCCAGTCTCTGTCTCTGCCCCTTGGATTTAATGTGTTTCACTGCTTGCTTTCCTATGAAATCTGCTGGCTACATCACTGTTCTGGTTAATGGTTCCTTTATAGGCTCTATCCCACCCCCTCTTCACGCCCCTCCCCTCCCCCAGCTTTTCTTATGTCCAGCTCTTATCATTCTTGCTATAGTTAAAATATCTCAGTATCCTTCCTTCACCACTTAATCTAAAGTCCCTCCCCACCCACACTGTCACACATCTAATATTTTCATAGTGCGTAACACCATTTGAAACTACTATTAATAATTTACTTGTTTATTGTGTTTCCCAATACATGATCCGCTCTGAGGCTAAGGCTTTTGTCTGATTAATAGAAGTAGCTCATATTTGAATGCTTATTGGGGGCATGGGATACATAAATGTCCTCTCATTTAATTTTCAACTGCCCTGTGAGAGATGTAGAATTCTATATGCCCATTTTATAGTCTAAAGACAACTGAGGCACCGAGAGATGAAGTAACTTATCCAGGATCACCTAAGTGAAAGCGGTAGAACTGGATTGAAGTAGGCAACTCGGGCCTGTTCATTGAATGCTGTATACTTCCTCCTACATTTGTGTCTGGCAAAAAGTGGGTGCTTTGTAAATGTTGAGTGACTGAATGGATGAACTCAGTGAAACAGAGACTGAGTGTAAATGGAGTGCACAGAGCTGGGTGTAGGCGAGTTAGTTAGGAGGTGGTTCAGAAAAAGACATGGGGGTGGGGTGTGTGGCGGGAGGGTATGAAATCCTAGGAGCTGCCTACGATGAAATGAAGATGTGCGTTGAAGAGTTTAGAGAAAGTACAGAGGTACAGAGTGTTTTTATCGTAGAGTGGGGGCCTCCACTCTGCCTGGCATAGTCTTTAGCAAATACATTTGGTGCCTCCTGGTGTTACCTAATCTTAACCCGATTCCTGCCAAAGACAAAATGAGGTTGGTGTTGGAAGACTGAGAGGCAGGAACCTTAATTGAAATTTAGAAAGATACCCTTGGCCTTGGCTCTGTTTGGGTGCTCTCCCACCTTTGTCACCTGGTATCCTGGTTTGGGGAATGTTGGAAAGTTACGTCAGTGGGATTTTTCTAAGGTTCAGGAGACTCCCTTAAGAAGTGATTTCCTTTATGTTGACAGAGGAACATCTACTTTTTGGGTGTCAGACAGGTGCATTTTATTTCTAATTTTCTTGACATGTCTGCAAAGTATAAATTCTCTTTAAAGATGGAGAATCAGGCTTAGAGAGGTTAAGGAATTCGTCCAAGGCATTACCCAAGAAACTTATAGGACTTTTATCCAGATCTTTTGGGTGCAAAAATCAGCCTTTTCTCACTACTCCAGCTCCTTCCCCACCACTGATATGCAAGACAGCAAGAAAATTCTGAGATAAAGCCTCTACCTGTCCTACTAGTGCTGGGGCCTCATTTAGTTCTACCAGAGGTTGTTCAAATGAGAGGAGGTCTCAGGTTGACTGTTGGGCAAATTCATTAGAGAATAAATGACTAGTCCTGAGTCACACTGTGGAGTGCATGCCATGACGACCCCTCCCCCTTGGCACCCCCCCCCCCCCCCCCGACTTCTTCCCCCACTTCCTTATATTCCTGGAGATCAGAGAAAAGTAGGTGACAGCAATGAAGTGTTTTGGTGTAGTGACTGTTTGCAAAGTTATTTAAGGCTTGGGGAGTTCACTTTGTCTTTAGGCAGATGAGTAAAAATCAGTAGACAAGTCCTGGCTGGTTTGGCTCAGTGTATAGAGTGTCCCAGGTTCAATTCCGGTCAAGGGCACATGAGGGGCTGGGGGTTGGGGGGGTTGGGAGGGGCGGCAGGGCGGGGCAGGAGGCAACCAGTCAATGATTCTCACTCATTGATGTTTCTCTCTCTCTCTCTCTCTCTCTCTCTCTCTCTCTCTCTCTCTCTCTCTCATTTCCTCTCTGAAATTAATAAAAAACAATATTAAAAAAATCAGTAGACAAGATTGTTGGATATAAAATAAGAAGTTAATTTAATAGAGGTTAGATGCCAAAGAAGAATATCTGCCCCAGCTCCTTCAGAGAAAGTTAAATATTCATAAAGACCACTTGTATTTAATCCCCTGGGCCTGGGCCTGGAAAGTGCTCTAGTTCCCTTAAAATGAAATGCTAGGTCCTTACTAGTTTGCACACTTATTTGCATAAATTTACATAGTGAGTTCAAGCCCTATTTTCTTAGAAGGTAAAAAGAAATTTAATTAATACAAAATGCTGCAATTATATGCAACTTGTTTCCAGAGCAAACGTGTGAAATACATAAGATTTCATTTCTACAATTATTATTTAACCTCCTCTTCCAATAAGAAAAGAAGGCACACATGTGGCAATAATGTCCTAATCATGTCCTTTTCTCTGCCCAGTGTGAGCAGCCATCTTTGGTGATTCAACTGAAATTGGTTGCTCCTCAATTTCCAGGCTCCTCACTGTCTTCAGCCTTTTCCCTTCCAACCACTAGATGGCTCTTCCCTAGTCATTTCCCCAGCCTGCCGCTTCAGGTGTTTTCCCAGGCTCATTTACACCCTTCATCACATAGACCATCATTTATTGCTCCTGTGAGGTCAGTCTGGGCCACTGCTGAGGGGAAGATCAAGGAGTATGTAGTAAGGCACACAAGAAACAGTTCCCAAACATGCCAACACCAGAGAAGCCACATGCTGAGCATTGTACTCATGGCTATCATTTATCCATCACCTCAGTAAAATGCTTCCTGTGAATGTGTGATTGCCAGACATAGGGCCTGGGTTTGCAGAGACAAAGGGGCAAAGCATAAGGTCCCTGCCTTCATGAAGACCTCAGCCCAGTAGGGAGGACAGACCAAAAGAAAGAAAGAAAAAAGGCAGAGGAATAAAAGAACTGTAAGTGCAATGAAAGAAACATAAAGAGTAATGGGGCCACCCACTAATAGGGATAGTCAGCTTATGCTGCTCTGAGGAGGCGACTTTGAAGATGTGCCTGAGCCAGCCAGGCAGTGTGCACATATTTACTCTTTGCTGAGTGTTTTGAGAGCAGATCCTAGATATTCCCCTTGCTGACCTTGTGAGATATTGTCATCCCCATCTCAGAGGTGAGGAAACAGGTTCAAGGAGGTGAAGTAACCCAAGGTGGGACCTGAATGCCAGAGAAGGCTGTTTATATCCTGGAGGCAACACTGCAGTTCTCTAATCAGGAGTGGAGCTTTGCAAAGATTGTATCTGATGACGGTGATTTTTCTTTTTTTAAGCAGCTGGTCCCCCCACAACTGCCCTCCTCTGCAGGCCTTGTTCCTTCCAATTGCCCTTCCCCTGCAGGCCTGATCACCCCTAACTGCCCTCCCTTGTAGGCCTGGTCCCTCCCGACCATCCT